AATAAGTTAACCTGTTTCTTAGCTATACAAAACATCAAATGTTTCTGCAGTGTAAATGATGCATTTCCAATTTGTACATGCGATGGGTACAATGGTGACATCTTTGGGAAATTTTTTGACAACCAAATAGAACTGGAAATCGTTATCAAGTTTCTTCTTTACTTTCATCACTTCTGAAATTTCACTTGGCAAGTTTCTAATACATAGTTTCCGCTTCTTTATATATACAGCAGCGCTGACAGTGACAGACTGGCTGTTTCCGATCGCCACAGATCAACAGAATCTCAGTTATATTTGCTGTCCGATTCTTGTCATCCTCCTTTCACTGTTACTTCCCTCCCCTATTCGCAGTTTTGCGTTTACAGCAATTTTGTAGTAAAGATGATGGCTTCACTTCCATCTCTGAAGGAATGGCATGGTTCTTCTTTTCATAGAAAAAACTCTCTACAAAGTCCAAGTCACACCTTAATAAATCGTTACACAGAACAAGTAAAAAACTGAAAAACTGAAATCATCCATAGAAGCAGATTATTTTTAAAGTCAAAGGAAACAGTACATTTAGGAAAAATGACGGTCAATATCACTTTTTGTTGGTAAAGATTGTTTGTTTTTTGAATATCGCACAAAGCTACACGAGGGCTATCTGCGCTAACCCAAACAATACAGAAGAGCCTATAGTTTCGGCGTTGCCGGAGATCAAACAATACAGAAGAGCCTATAGTTTCGGCGTTGCCGGAGAACTCTAGTTTCACCTTCGTTCTCATTAACAGTTTCGTTTTGAGTTTACTTATTGATTATAAGTGTTATTTTATTACAATTTACAGCTTTTACAGCAAGGAAGAATATTTTAAAAACAGGTACGACGTTCCACCAGCTTTAACGGCTTTAAACAACCGTTTAACCGAGAGCCGTAACAGTTATTAGGCATCAATGACCACTTTATCAAAAAGATTTGAAGTGTCACATAAGAAAGAAGGATAAGACCTTAGATGACTTTGCTGACGATGATGCCCTAGAGACTTGTTCCGTTATATTTTATCTATATGCTCTACATGTAAATTATGAATTTGATAGGACGTGACAAAACTGTGGATGCCATAATGAATAAGGATATGCGAATTAGGCTAAAGAAAAATATGTGTACATCTTTAATAAAAGCTGTCCTGTTGGCAGTGGAATTTTAATCAATTCAAGTTGCAGATAAACAAATAAAAGCGTGTGTGTGTGCCTGCGTTTGTTTTTTATAGCAAAGCCACATCGGGCTATCTGCTGTGTCCACTGAGGGGGAAACAAATAAAAGCTTCAAGATCGAACTATCAGTTTATTCCCTCGACCATCTGCCTGAAGCAAACGCCCTTAGTGACAAGACAACATTTGATGACAAAGGACAAGAGGTCATCACGTCTTCATACCATAAAACACAGAAAGGAAACCACACAAAAAAAAAGGTCTGGCGACTGGACAGTTTAGGGATAATAAATGAATATAGAAAATATTTTTGTTAATAAAATTTTTCTATTGTACTTTGTGTTATACATTCAATTGATGATTCACTTAGTTTTGTTTATGAATATTGTAACGAATTTATTATTATGTATTTATTTTTAATATGAACGTTGTTTGGATTGAATTTGTATTTAGAAATATGCGTAACTTGTAGTATCAGATATGTGTTGCGTATAACGAATTTGTTATATATTTATTTTAATGTCAACCTTTGTTTCGAATATGTTTATATTTGAGGGCGTGTCTGGCTTACCTAGTTACGTATGGCGAAACTCCCACCAGTTCTCCAAGATTGCAGAATATTCGTGAAGACAAGAATCAACAATATATCCATTTCCGTATCCGGTATTATTAGAAGGTTCTAGAAAAGTGTATTGTCTATTAAAACAGCAGGGCATCGCGCCAAAAAACAACAGAGAACAGCGAAGTCTACTATGAAACTATTATAACCGCGTAAGCTATAAACTGTGATTTTGCTAACCCTTATCAACCGGAAAATATACGACATTTGATCAGGAACAGTTATAAATTTCGAACGTCAGTGAATTCCTATCAAACGTTAATATCTATCCAAGAATATTACTCATTTCTCATCGGACATTAGTGATTTTATGAAAATATTATCTTACTTCAACGGTCCTGACAAAGTTAGCTAGCTTCCTGTCAATTATATGAGGAGACTCTGAACTAGAACGACGATTTAGGCTATTTGTAAATTAGTGAAATTTTTGTATATGAAACTTGGTTTGTAATAATTAATCAAAATAGTTGTTATAGTAAATTATACTATTGTATATATACATTAAAACGTATTTGTTTCGAAACAAAAACGGTGTGAATCAATCTTGTTGGCAAGTAGCGTAAATTGAAGAAAATACCAGCCTATTTCTAAACATTAAATCTAGGGTATATTTCAACTATTAAAAGTTAAATTATTTAACGCGGCTTTGGATTATTTCAAATTCTCAATACGTACCAATATTAATGTTGTTAATTTTTTAAGATTACTTTTTTGTTAAGTAAGTAAATTTTCTGTACCAATGTTTTCTTTAAATAATAGATTTGTTCAAGAGACTTCATAATCCAAGAAGCGTGATGTGCGTGTGGCTTAATAACTTGAAAGTTTGCGAGACGAATTTAGCGAAATAAAACTATATAAAACCGTGCAAATTGAAGAACATGTAGCCTAAACTGTGCTTTTGGAAAATATATTTTCGTTATCGTTAAGTCGACTAGACCGTGCATTATTTATTCTTTTTATCTAATAATCTTAAAAACCTGCCCAACAATGGAAGCCATTACAACAATATCTGGAGAACAGGGTGCATTTGACATGCTTATTATTGTATTTGTTTGTTTGTTGGTTGGTTGTAGTTTTTTGAAACAAAGATAGAACATAACAACACTGGACTATTCTTTATTGGGTTTCAAAATACAAGAACAAATTGAACTCGTTTCACCGACTTTGATATACAACATGCCACATAAATAATTTACAGAGATTTTATTGATTAAATAGAAAATATATCCACATGATTTATTCCTTTTTTTTTTCTATCTCACATTAAATTACATAGAGATTGTACTTTTTTAGTTTTATTGATTCAAAGGGGACAAGGAGGATCGTATGATACATTTGTCATTAAATTTAAGATCAACGATCATCTACAGTTTAGTTGCTTTAGGTATTCCTAGGGGATCTTCACAGTAATATTGGGTATTTATACAGCAAATAATTTAATTATAGTTAATTATGTAGTGATAAGTTTATTAAAGATAGGCATTTTGTGCCTTTAGTGTTTGTTTGGTTTTTTTAATTTCGCGCAAAGCTACACGAGGGCTATCTGCGATAGCCGTCCCTAATTTATCGGTGTAAGACTAGAGGGAAGGCCGACTCTTGGGCTACTCCTTTACCAACGAATAGTGGGATTGACCGTCACATTATAACGCATCCACGGCTGAAAGGGCAAGCATGTTTGGTGTGACGGGGATTCGAACCCGCGAGCCGTAGATTGCGAGCCGAGCGACCCAACCACCTGGCCATTCCGGGCCGCCTCTAGAGGGAAAAAAACGTTCTAATTTTTTGAATATGTCTTAATTTTATTTTATGTGTTTTGAAGTATAAGACTGAGTAAAGCTACAGAAAACACCTTATATGAAAGGACATCTATTTGAATTTTCATACAAAAACGTTAGCACACATTTGGCGTAAAGTTTATATAACAATAAAAGTATGAGATTTTTTACATTTTTTTTAGCGTGGTGTAAAGTTTATTTCTTATTCATATATTCTTCTACCTCACAGGATGAAGATGTTCTCACGTGCTTTTTTCTCCTATAAATAGAGCAGTTTATCTATTTCATAAGATGAGATGAACTCTGTTAAATAGTGCGAGAAACAAATTTAAATTACCACGCCAAACAATAGATTAAACAGGACCAGTTAATGTTGAACACAAATCTCCTACTGTAACCAGTGTTCCCTCTAAGTTGCGCGGCCGCACAACAACCAATCAAGTGCCGCGCACGTCTTTAGTAATGGTGAGGAATTTCAACACGTTGACAGCCTTAAGGATCCTGGCAGTCGATAGGCATAAGGGCCCGTTGATATCGTATATCAGAATTCACTTTCATCTCCCTACAATAACAAGAAAACAAACGCACTTCCCGTTTTCTTCTCGGCCTTTCCTCTCGTTTGACCACTGCAAGTCATCAAAATTCCACAGAAGTGGTAGCTCATTCCCCTAACTTTAACCACCACAATCTCTAAAATTATCTACAAGTCAAGAAAGGGGCAACGAGAAATAACTTGAATTTCTGACCACCCCTGGATTATTAAACCTAAATATCCACCACGATTGGATTGAAGACCTAAAGCCCAAATAACCAACTGGTAGCATTGCAACCTAATGATCCAACAGGGTCGATGGTCTGAAAGTATCCCCCTAAAAAAAAACTGGTAGCGCACATCCGCACATTGCTTTGATACTGGTGCACATGAAAAAATTCGTTCCGCACATGGAGTGAAAACATTAGAGTGAACACTGACTGCAATTATTTTTTTGTTCCCTTTCTTTCTGTTTGGGCAGCAGTTTCAAATCATGACAAACAACAAAAAATGTTTTAATAACGTATCAAGGTAATGAAGTTAGGTTTGTTACAGTATGAAATTTTCAAATATGTGCCGTAGATACTAGTTTCTTTAAAAAAATGTATTGATCTATATTTTTGTATTATAATTTAGGTTTTTAGATAATTAACTTCATATCAAACTTTAAGTTTTTCTACTGTATTATTGAAGCATTAATAGTTTTAGCATTTATCAGTTGGAGACGTGTCTAAGTCACTGTTATAGTCTTTAAGATGAATGTAACAAATCACCATTTAAATGTATACGTATTTCAGCAAAATATTTGACACAATAAAAACAATATGATGAAAAATTTTAGTGCTGAAAACCAAAATGAGATTCTCTATATCAGAATTCCTTTAGATTTGTAATTAGTTGATTAAGAACATGCAAATGTTCTGTAGTTTTTTAAATACCATTCAAAAGACCACGAAAACCTAATTGAATTTAAACAGATATACTTTTTTTTCTCGTCACAGCAAATCATAGATTGTTCTCCAGCCTGGAATATAATTAGTATGACAGATTAAACAAAAACTCTAAAAGTATAGGAATTTAGACATGAATTTAGATCTCAATTGGCATTGCGTCAGACTCTTACTCAGAGCTATACAAATGTAAACTGCCGTTCTTGTCAATCCTTGTAGCGTTGGTTGAAAATGGTTAGATTAACAACAGACAAAAAGTTATGTCACTTGAGGATTCTTTTTTCTCTTATGGTTCAAGTAAACTGATGTTCTTCGCAGTGTGGAGTATAACAACTGAAATATATTTTCTTTACAGCATCATCTTTCTGATCTCTCTCTTTTCTTTTGTTTGGGTAGATAAAAATTATTAGTTTTTGAAAAGAAAACTGAAACCTAGTTCAAGCCGAATAAGGTTTGTGAATTATGATTCAGGTCATCAGTATACAGTTCAGACAGATACTCCCCCCCCCCCAAAAAAAACAACAACTAGAGTAATGTATTCATACACAATAATAATAATAATTAAATATTTTACTTTGGTTATCCTGAAGAGCTTTTCTTTTTCATAGTCACTTAAAAAGTTTACTTTTACAATTTACAAGCCAATCAAAAAGCGCCAGGAATTTACTTTTAATGGTTTAAACTAACGAGGTATACCTTCCTAATACTTGATCATAAAAATTGTCTAAAGAGGAACAACTAATCAGATGTAATAATCCTCAAGTGAAAATAACAACAAACACATCTTGATCACTGAAAATGATAACTGAATCGTACCCAGTTATATACGCTGAATCATTATGGATTTACAAACGTATATAATCTACTTGGTAGCTTACAGACAATTTTCCGTTGTTGTTTTTTTTTAACTTGTAAACAAGTATATTAACCTATGAGTCCAGAGAAAAATGTGTAGATGCCTTTAATATAATGTTCTTTCACAAAAACATATCTTTTTGTTGTTTATCTACCGGATGACGGATAATCTTCTGTCCAGTACGTCTCAGCCTTCAGAACAAAGCGCATAATCCGGACAAAACATGTTACAGTAAGCAGCTTACATCAAAAGATTACTTTCTGCCACTTAAGATAACAAAGTCATCTTTAATAAAAATTGTAAACACAGGCTACTAGGAAGACATGAAACACCAGATTGATGTAGTTAGTTCATCTAATTTTTTTTTTAAGTAAGGAATTCTTAGACATTCAAGTATTGAAAATTCTAAACTCGTTCACTGATAAGCTCAGCAGCTGGACAAATTCTGGACCCAGGAGAGTCCGTGCTGTCAAACTTCATGTAGATAGACTTGATTACTGGACTCTGGGTTGTGTTGGATTGTTTAAAAAAACTGCCATACTTTGATTTCAAATGGCGATTGTTCATTTCCACATGAGCTATCCGCATGAACTCTAATTGTGCTGCCAGTTTCTGAACCTCTTCCTTTAACAGAGACAATAAGAACTGATAATAAGAATTACAATTCGGTAACAGTATAGTTATACGACGTTAAGAAATACTTTGAGTAATTTCTACTAGATTGTCATTAACGTCTGATCAAAGTAAGCTACTTACTTGGATCAGAAGTAAAAAATAATCCAGTATGTAATATAGCTAATTTAATATCAGTCTAACTAGAAATATGCAATGTCATAAAACAAAAACGTATAATGATTAGAATGCACTGGTTCTTCAGTGGGGTACTCTCGCTGTTAACGATATTTTCGGCCCCAATTCCAATGTTAAATTATTAAACGCTAATATTATATTTTATCTTTTAGGATATAGTTTTTCAAGTTACCATTTAATAAAAGCGTTATTTCGAGAAATATTCTTTTACAAACTACTTATGACTATTCGCACAAACTGTCTTATTGATAATTAGCTGACAATTTTAGGCATTTATTATATTTCAGGAATGATATCTTATAGTTACGAACATTAATTTTTTTAAAAGTTGCATTTCTTTATTCAAATGTATATAAAATTTACTCTGAAGGTTTAAACAACATAAAATAGCATAGAATGATAAACATAAGGGAAAGTGGGGTAAGACGGTCCCTCTTCGGCAAAATGGTCACTCCAGTATATCGTCAGTTATGATGTGCTGCCATCATGGTTAATTATATTTAATTATTGTTCGCATAACCTTGTGCATAAACACACTGGTGCATGGGCGCGAACGTGAATGATCACAGCGTAACTTAATTTTCTTTTGTTTTTGAACAACTTAAATCTAAGGTAAGCATTTGGATTTTTATAGTTACGAAGTAGACATTTCAGAGAATTTCATTTTTTTTCATTTCAAACAAAGTGGAAATATAGACAACTGAACATGCTGTAGAACAAACACAGTTTAAGTACACTGAAAAGTTATAAAATTAATCTACTGATTAACGACGAATAGCTAAAGGTAAGCACATACCCCACCTCCTCGCACCCGAGGGGCCGTCTTATACCACATTGCTACATACTAGTACTATTTTGCGTCATTGTCCTGGATAATGTGCAAATTTCACATGGCGTACGGACTTCCCATCACAGCTAGGAGCATTTAAATGATGATTTAAGTGATTTAAATGCGGTTGCTAAATGCAACATTTTTGTTTAATTTCATCTGTTTAAGAGTTAGATGGCGGCCATTTTATCGACCTAGCTTCGTTTAGTAAAACAGTTTTCATTTTAAAACCGTATTTTATTTTACTTTTTTCATAGAAATCATTTTAATCAGTGAAAATCGATTTCTAAGTTGAGGTCTTAAAACCTACCTTTCCCTACCTGTTTATGTTAAGGTGGAGGAAAAATTGGAAATATATCGATTTTTCTCAGATCAAAGTGGATATCTTTTATATTTTATCAACCCTAAAATCTGCTATTGATTATACTTTGTTAAACGAGTTTAGTGTACTTAATTAGCTTGACAAAAAGTTGGAAACTTACATAATGAAGGAATATTTATAACTTTTAGAATGCGGCGTGTAAACGATCTAAACCCATACATAGTATATTACCTTGAGTTCTTCATTTTCTTGAAACAGGTCCGTAGTTTCCTCGTGCACCAGGCCCACCCCATTGAGCGAGAAGGAAGCCGTTACTCCACGAGCACGGGCGCGATTGTCCCACGTGTCTCCTTGACCCTTGACTACCCGATAGAACTGAACAGAGAAAAGCCAGTTAGTTCCGTTTTTCAATCATTCATATACACGTGTATGTTCCTGTCTATTTGATTCAGAATATAAACAATCATACTTCGCTAAAATACAAACGAGATTACTTTTATTTTAGACTATCGAGCTCATGAAAATTCGCAAAAGCTAGAGGAGTTTCTTTCAACATCCTCAGGACAGACAATTTCAATGAGTTTTTCTATTAGCAGTTTTAATAGATGTTTACAACTAACTTAATTTTGAACGAGATGAAGGCCCTTGTAAAGCTTAAACCTAAAATAATTTGCTAATAAATGTTGTTGTTTTTTCACAAATTGGTAAGCTTCTAGAGCAGTCGTGGACAGCCTTAACACTCTCAATGATCCCCATTACACCTCATGAGCCTCAGCAACACAGCAGAATAATAACAGTGCTTACAAGCATAATTCTTTGCTAGGGCCTATAACAACCACGCATTCCATCATCGAGCTACTGCCTTTTTCGATTGAAAGATTCCAACTTCACAGTGACCAAGCAGAAGATTGCCTAAAAGGTGCCTGAGGAGATGGCCGTGGGTGGACAGATGATATGCAACCATCACTGAGATAATTTTTCACCAGCAGATTTCAGATGTCAGTCAGCCTAGACAGAAAATGGGGAAACTGGGTTCAGAGGATGAAGCAGAAAAATACTCTAAGCACCTACTTAAAAACAATGATAGATAATTTTCTATCGTCATAGCAACAGTTGATTCCTACGGCAAAGATAATAAAAAGCTGATTGGACATTTATTGTCTCACGGAGCAACAACTTTTTGTATGAAGCTGGTGGGGCATTCAAGTTCTCAGAATTAGCACAAGAAAATTTAAAAGTCATAAAAGAAACTCTTGTCTGGATTGCTGGAAGACAGTGCTACCAACAAAATACTTGTAAATGAGTCACAAGCAATGTTGCACAAAATTGAAAGTTGTCGTTTCTCAACTGGGTGGCAGAAAACAAAGCAACCGCATGCTACACCATGAATTGGTAAAGCTAAACAAGAAAGCTGACAAGTTTGCAAGAGAAGTCCCTTTATCAAGTCCAGAATAACTTTACTGGCAGGATATCAACCTCCTCTGCACTAGTAAAGCAAAAAGGCAACCATGGAAAGTCTTTACGACATTCAGAGAGAGAGAATTAAACTACTGGAAAACAAAGTACCATAAGGTGTAGCCAGGATAAGCAAAATATTGGGAATCAGTAGGACAGTATAAAGCCAGAAGGTCACTGGTAGGATCAATAAAAGGATTCTTCTACCTCCGACGAGGCAGCCAGTCCTCACATGAGGGGTCAAAATGACTGAGCGCGCAACCTTTGAGATTGTGATCTAGTATTCAACTCAAGACCCCTTTACTAGTCATAAACCAAAACTGATACATCTGAATAAAAATGAGCTATACATAAAACATATGAAAGGTGTAATAGAGGAGCTGACCATTTCAATACAAAATAAACCGCATTTACTCTCGATATCTACCAACAGTTTTAAAAAGTGTAATATATTAAACCTGAATAAAGAAATTTTATGTTTTAATTTCTAAGTATCAATGCACTTGGACATAGTTTGTTCTCATCACTTACAGATTCAATCAGCTTCTGCAAACTACTTTTAGTTTTAGTTTTGTATTTTATTAGGCAGAAGATCCTCAGATTGATCCCAGTGGTTGCTCGTCAACACTGCTCTAGAGCTCAAAACTACATCAGCAATTATAATTTCTGCATAACATCAGTTCAGCCTATTCTTGCATTCGTTAATAATATTCAACTGGTTTATCTACTTGGAAGATATTTTTCTATTTGTGTTCAGGTGGAGCAGTAAAAGGGAATACTGCTATGATACATTACCTTTGGCCCAAAGATGAAACTTATGGTGATTGTTGTGGTCAGTTGAGTCCGAATGAATCCGAACAAGTATTTTACGTCAGGATCAGCATTCGGTAGAATCACTAAACTGAAATATACACAAATAACGAATAAACTGAAGAGTCGAAAAACAAGTTATCTGACGTCGTAACGTATCGTTTATCCCAAAACAAAAATACTAAAAAGTGTCAGACCAAATAATATGTAATCATATTTCTTGTTCTTTGTTCCAATAATTGTATTTTATAACCTAACACGATATTGTCACTATGTTCTTTACAATGCTTGTTGATTTGTTTTGAATTTCGCGCAAAGCTATACGAGGGCTATCTGCGCTAGCCGTCCCTAATTTAGCAGTGTAAGACTAGAGGGAAGGCAGCTAGTCAACACCACCCACCGACAACTCTTGGGCTACTCTTTTACTAATGAATAGTGGGATTGACCGTCACATTATAACGCCCCAACTGCTGAAAGGGCGAGCATGTTTGATGAGACGGGGATTCGAACCCGCGACCCACAGATTCGGACTCGAGTGCCCTAACCACCTGGCCATGCCGGGCCATAGACGAAGCAAATATAACTGATATCTAACACATCTTTTTCCCAGACCGTAATTAACGAAGAACTATAAAAACTCCTGCTGCCAACACTCTTGACAGTTTTCTCCATGGAGGAAGGCTTCCACCTGACAGGCTTTTATCCAACTCCATCTTAGATTGATTTCATCTTCTTTCTAAAACTTATAAACCTCTTATGTGTTGCTCATTACTCACCAATTCAACATGGAAATGATTTCAATTTATGCGTGATGTATCTCCCATGATATCTTTCTGTCACTCTTGATTAAATGACGTTGTAGATCTGCCCTGCTAAATTCCGTAACTTTATGGGATAAATGTGTAGCTGAAATCCTAGTCATAGGTGAAAATAAATCAGTGGTAATAGGTGTAGACCAGATATGCATTCTATTCTATATTGTTTCTTACCCTTTGTTTCAAACGAGCTATTATTTCACCCATCCAACGGACGGGTACTCCAGCTAGTACCTTATATTCATGAAATAAGTAGCAAGGGTTTTGATCTCTCTACTTCCAAACATAGTATGTGGAAACAAATGATTTCTTTCAAAGAGAATGTTAAATGAATTAAGAATACCCAATGCATAACTCATAAGCTCAGTACTGAGATTGTCAAGTACGGTTGATTCTGTAAATGGGAAGTATTAAGTGACGTGTAATATAATAGGTTAACAACCCACTACACAATTAGTATATCCACATATTGCTTGTCGACAACCGTTTGGTGTACCTGAAGCAGAAGCTTATGCATTTTGTAGTCTGAAAATGACTGAAATTCCTTCCAAGACTGTTCGGGAGCTTTTTCCCGCTATTTGGGGAAGCTGCAACTCAGCTGTATCATATGGCAGCTATATTCGTCAGTATCAATCCATGGATCAAAGATGAAGCTGAGTATTAACCTCCTTCATAACATTTGTTGTATCATTCTAAACCTAATACAGTTACTCAGAAGCATGTTCAGTTTTTCGAGTGATGATACTTCCTTATTAAGTAAAGTCTTTGCAGACCCATCTGGACAACTAATTAGGTGGTTTTCAATATCAAAATCACGTTGCAGCAAACTGCACACAATATCGACTGTTTAGTTGGGCGTTTTGCAGTAGTTTCGTCTGTGACTATTGAAAATGTTTTGGCTCTTAGCTTTTCATTCTACACATCATTAAGGTATGGTCAATGACCTTGTCTAATGAGATTAGTTACTTTCTTCTTACAAATATTTAAGATATATATTACTTGCGAAAAGAAAATATATTTTTCTAGTTTGTCTACAATGAAATATGGAAGGCCATTTTCGACTATGAATTCCAGGATCTCTGCTTACGCTTGAAGCATTGTTTCTTCTTACTTCCATTGGTATCATATAAGGAAAATACTGTAACACAAAGCTCGGGAAACTATAATGAATGTATTAAAAGAAATTAACCTTAGGGGAAAATACCTAGAAACTGAACTGGTAAATGCAATAATCAAATTAGCTATACCTCTTTCTGCATCTACTCAAGAATTTGAACCTTACACATCATTAACTATGCTGTGCTTCTATTTATTATTTCTTAACATAATAAACCATAAAGGTACCAATACTGAAAAGAAAGACATACTGTTTTAAAAAGTTCTATCAATATGAAATTAGATAGGGATCCAACTCCTTCATGACCTTCTTCATATCAACATGTATCATTATGTCAAGTTGTGCTAATTTGTTTTGTTTTTTCGAAATTAGATATGAAATTAGATGGGGGGTCCAACCTCCCTCTTGACCTTCCCCGTGTCATCCTGTATCACTGTGTCAAATTTGGTGCTGATTGATCAAGAAATGTGGAAACGTATAAGGAACAGATACACACATACCATATTGACGTTTATTTATATAGAGGTTAAATAGGTTAATAAAACTGTGACTGTTGATGAAAGGAAAGAGAATGAGTATTTTCCTCTGAACGAAGTTTATCAAGGTATTTGAGCAGAGTATACACTGACAGACCTGAGAACAACTGAAATAAATAAGAACCAAGAAGAAACAGTCAAGATATATTCATCAGCCAGAAGATTCTACAAAAAAAGGCTATAAGAGAGACAAAACAGATCCCGCGACCCTCAGATTGCGAGTCGAGCGCCCTAACCACCTGGCCATGTACTCTTAAATATGCTTATAAGATAACAAGAGCTAATCTTACTTTTAACATTCAGAATCATACACTACTTGGGCAATCCACAGTTTTATAAAACGTGTTATGTGTTGCTGATAACAACTGAGCTTTAAATATAATTACCTGCTGTAAAGTTATATATATAATTTAACAATTAATTTTCAACTTCTTTGGATATTATATTTCATACAACAACTTGTTTTATCCTTTCTTTCAAATTTTACAGTTATTTGAAAGTACTTGCTCTTTACAGAGTCATAAAGAATATAACTATAAAGTGTATATCTGAAACTCCACCGGGGAGTTTTTTTCATATATATTCCTGTTTTAACTGTGATTCGAAATATACTATTTATGCCTCACTTTATATAACATGTAGAAAAATATACATGGGAGAAACAGAAAATTTAAGAATTATAATAAATCTACATAAATATCACGTGAGAAATTCACATTTAAGCCCCATACCAGCTAGTGCACATTTTAACAGTTGCCTTTAATAAACAACTTAAAAATTTATCTTTTTTAAATCATGTATCAATAAAATAATAAGATTCAAAAACGAAAAATATTAAAAAATGCAAAGCTTCATTGAATGCTAGTTAATATTAAGTAGTAGGAGGAGCTTAATATCTAAAGTCATATTTCCCGCTTGTTTAAAAGAAATATTTCAATATACAAAATGAAAAGAAGCAGAATAAGTGCTTTATTGAATTTGCATTAGATGTATATTTAATCTTTAACTTTGTAGTTTACTGTAAATTTTAAGTATTTTAGAAAGTTATACTAGAATTACACAGAGTTTATATGTTATCATGTAAGTAATGTATTTATATTTTTATTATTTTTAATCAGGGATTGTAGAATTTGGGATGGTTTTAAATTGTAATTTTATATATGTCCAAACCAAATATTTTTAAAACAAAGTTTTATATTTAAATTGTATTATGTTAAAAGCAAAAATAAAAATAATTGAAGACTATTTGAAAACTACAAAACCGGTTCTGTAAAGTGCAAGTAATTTCATATAACTGTAAAAGTTGAAAGAAAAAACAATACAAGTTTTTGTAAGATATATGTGTATGCGTGTGTATATGTACACACTCTATAAACGCGACGAATAAGGGAACCCTATAGTGTTAACAAACAGCTGCCACGCGTTACTTTCCATTTTAATGACCACGTCAAATAAAGCGTTACCTCAAATAGGCACTTTCGTAATTTAGAGTTTAAGGACCTTTGTTGTTGGGATAATATGTGGATATACAGAGAAAAGGGCTCAAATATATACTACTGTACCGCTTTATACCAACTACTTCCATAGGCACAGCCAGGATTGTTTCTGGAGAGCATGTAGGCTTAGGTTTGAGTAAGCCACGAGTCGGTAGCAGCCCAATACACGATCCATAGTGAGGTTTATGTCAGATTGAAGAAACACATTAGTCAGTTTTTGCATCGCTTGATTTAATTTTCCATCATCAACAAAATGCAGTTGAGGTTTAAATGGGAATCGTTTGCACCCGACAAATCCCATCCCTTAGCGCCCATGCATGCGTCTTCTCCAAAATAGTTTCAGTTAGGCCTATTTAGTAAATAATAACGTAAAGAAATGTCACATTTTTTTTAATATCTAAATATCTTAATTTCAAGATGCATAAATCATATTATGTAGGTGTTGCCATGTTTTAGGCCTAGTCGTTTTTATTTTCTTACTTCTCTTAAAAATGAAATATTGTGAGATATTGATCGCATTTTGATTAAATAAATATAATCTTAGGTAGGCTTAAGCCTACACAGTAATTGTACAGGAAGAACTTAAACGTTTATTTAAAGGTGAGCGTGATGTTTAGAAATAATTACACCTACCTTACAAAGACGATGAACATACTGTTGATGTAGTGTACTTGAATAGTCTGTGTTTAGAGAACACTTCAGGTTCAGGAGAGTTTCCCTATCCATCCATACTGTTTTCATACAAATTCCAAAATTATCATAAATAGCGTTAGCTACTGAATGCACATCAGAGTCATACTTTGGAATGAAAGAACTAGGCTTATAATCGGCACATAATGAATCGTTTATGACCTCATAAGACTCAGTAAAATTAAGATTTTTAGGCCTAACAGATTTGTTTTGTATATAACTGGCAGAATTAATTTTTCTTTCGTTAGTGTTAGATTTAATATCAATTTTTTTACAGTCTAAGCCCAAGAAAGCGACATTTACAAAAGTAGGGATTTTAAACTCAGACTCAGAATACATTTTCGGTAATAATAGGCTTAATTTGTTTTTGTCAGTTTGGACTTGGATAACGTAGATTCTTCCCTAAGTAACAGTGGTGTACTATAAAGCCTAACAGT